AATATCTTGAAATCGTTTTCAATGAAATCAGATGTAAGTTAATCTTGATTTTTCTCTAATGTTTTGCATGTATATACAGGATGTTTCATAGATCATGGGACAAACTTGGAGGGGTGGTGGTGAGTACTAAAACATGCATTTTTTTATAGGAATGTGGGGTCTAAAGTGACAAATTAAGGCAGGAACGCAAAAGAATGACATGAGAGGAAAATGTGTTTATGTACAAAATCAGCGCAAAGTGCTTCTTTAAAGCAATACAATATTCACAATAAATGTTCAAAATTGCGACCACCAGCAGTAATACATGCTTGGTAACGTCGCAGTAGGGATTGACGAACATTTTGAAAAACGACAGGAATTTCGCGCACGCTTGCAGCCGCAATGGATAGTCGTGCAACGAGATCCTCCAGTGAATCTGGTTAAATCTGGCGCACGGAGTGGCCGTCGAACGGATCCACCATGGCCAATCCATCGGCCCGGAAATGTCCCATCCAAGTAATTGCGGACCCGCACGTGGTTATGGGCTGGTGCACCATCATGCGATCACGAACCACATGCGATCACGAATGACAGCCGGAAAATCCTGCAGCAATTCCTGTAGCACCTCTTGCAGAAAAATACGATAACATATAAGCCATTTGTACGTGCAGGTAAGAGGTATGGGCCTATGAGGTAGTCGTTAACAACACCCGCCCACACATTCACGAAGAAGCGGATTTGGAATGCATGTGGACGTGTGCCGTGTGGATTATGAGTTGCCCCCACGTGCATGTTGTGGCTGTTGAAGATGCCGTCCTGTGAGAAAGTTGCCTCGTCCGTGAATAGCACATCCGATGGGAAATCCGCCTGCGCCGCACACTGCTGCAAGAACCAATGACAGAAATAAACTCGAAGAGGGTAATCCGTTCCTGGTACAACCGTAGCGCTGCTCTGCCGTTCCCATTAGCAGCACCATACATGAGATGCATGTCAGCTTTTTCCCTGTGCGTAAACTCAACCATCACGCTCGACACCAGAGTTGCGAATGATCCTCTGATGCATTGGATCGTGGTTTGTCCGGCTCACTACCGCCCCCTACCGCTGCATTGCCAGCCAATCACAGCTGTAGTTCCTATTACTGTTTCCTTTTTTTGAACATTTATTATGAATACTCTATTGCTGCAAAGAAGCACTTTGTGTTGATTTTGTACATAAACGCATTTTCCTCCCGTGTTTTTTTTTTTTAATCGTTCCTGCCTTAACCCGTCACTTTAGACCCTACATTCCTATACAAAAAATGCATGTAATACGCACCACCACCACATAGTAAAATGTTTTATTACGCTCCACCAACCCACCAAGTTTGTTCCATGATCTGTGAAACACCCTGTATAGTATATTTTAAAACCGCTGCGAATTAGTGTTTTCAAGACGCTTAAGCGCATGGTATAGTTATTATACTTCCAATATTCCTCTTAATCATCTCAGGTATTCTGTTAACAATGCAAAATATTTTGTAAAAACGCTAGTGTCACTTTTTTCCTGATACTTTTCTACATTTAATTTTTTAAACTCTGAACAAAATCGGATGCGTAACAAAAATTCAGCAAAATTCTTATTTTTTCATGATACATTTAGCATAAAATGGAGTTACTGAAGATTTTCTTGTTATTCACAATATAAAACCGATTAAAATTATAAATTAAATCAGAAATTCGGGATTAAAATAATAAAATAAAATTACAATTACTTTAGGTTAAAGTCAAATATTTCGAAGGGCTCATCATTAAAGTTTCAAGAAACTTTAAAAAATATTTTTAAAAAAATCATAAAAGTGAAAAAAGAAACTTCAGTTTGATCTTGGTATTCAGAGTTCAGTTTAACGCCTGAAATAATTTCAAGCTAAGGAGTTACAATAGGCTAGTTCCAGAAATTAAAACTAAGACCTAAAATTTCCTTTTAAAAGAATTGTTAAACGTCATAAAGCCAAATGGCAAGGGTCATAAAGCCAAATGGCAAGGGGAGGGGGAAAAAACCTTTTACTCTTATTATTTCAATGTAAATTAACATAATACAGAGACTTGATCATTTATTTAACGAAGAAAATTACTTAAGAGGTATCTGTGCATTTATTTCACTGGATCATTCACACACAAGCTTTCAAACATCATTTTTTTAAAGTTTTTCCTCTGCATAAAATCTGTTGACTGAAAACAAAAAACGGCGATTCGAGGTGCTTAATAAAAAATAAAGTAAATAAAAGTATTAATTATAAAAACTATAGAGTTATAAAAAAGTATTGTTAAACCACAACTTCTTCCTCAGAAAATACCTAAAAAACAGCTCGCAAAACAATGTCCATATCTTTAACTTTCGGAAAATTATCATCCTGACACGCGTCTGCACTTCATTTTTTAATAATCAATGTAAACAAAAATATCAGCCAATAATGCTTCCTACAGTCCGTTATATTTCGCCCCACCCTCATTACAATCATTATATTTTATTACTAGTCACAAAATATTATGAAAGTTATATCTACAAATATTTTTAAAAATTACTAAGGTTAGGTAAAAATTACACATCTCATTTTTCTTAATAACTACTGGAACTAAGATACAATAACACGCCGAACAAGTATTAATTTAGAAGTCAAACAAAAAATTCGGCGTTACGTTTTCAAATTTTCTCAGGACTAGTTTCGATGGTTTTACCGAACCATCCTCCTCAGCTGTAAAAGCGCAAATGAACGAGATAAGATATAGTGATTAGATAAAATAAGATATTATTCTCTCATGAATAAAATTGCGAATTCCATGCTCAAGGATCCCATTCCGGATATCAATTTCTGGGGTATTTACAGGATTCCTTGCCAGTGTGGTTTAATTTACATTGGTCGACTAAGAGAGCTTTAAAATTTTGCGTTAAGAAACATGATGCATATGTTAGAAAAAAGGAAACACAGAACTCTTCTGTTGCCCAGCATTGTTGGTTCGAAAATCACACTTTCAATTTTTCTGCAGCCAAAATTATTCAAAAACATCTTCCATTGGTGAATTAGATTTTCTAGAGGCATTTCACATTAAAAAAGTCTTTCTGTTCTTTGTTAACGACCCGAATTCCAATCTATCTTTGCCTTCAGCTTTTAAGGAAATTATGTTTTAATTCTCGTTTCATCAACAGATGGCGTCAATAGCTTAACTTCTGTCCAGGCTTTCTTATCTTATCTAATCACTATACCTTATCTCGTTCATTTGCGCTTTTGCAGTTGAGGAGGATGGTTCACTAAAACCATCGAAACAAGTCATGTGAAAATTTGGAAATAACGCTGATTTTTGTTATTTGACCTCTAAATTAACTTCTGGAATATTTAAAAGAATAACTTAAAAAGAGATTAAAATTATTAAGAAACCTTCAAATGATATATTAATAAGCAATACACTGCCTTAATTTAAAGGATAAGAATGAATTTTAAAAATGTAACATGAAATGAAGAAAAGAAAAAAACAATAATAAAACTAATCATGTACGAGTAATAATCGGTTTTTAAGACTTATTTTTCAACAATATATTCTACCAGTACAATCAATCAGACTTCACTGTTCTACCATAAAGAAAACAATACTGAATAACAATAGTTGAATAACAACAATTTCAGCAATAGTTGCAATCTAATAGATTCTGCTAGGAGATGCAAGAACTGTTTTATAGTTCAGCATAGTTTATCAGCTTAATCAGCTAAATTTCTTTCAGATGAATGTTTTTATTGTTTGAAAATTAGGCAGTCTAGAATATAGCTTAAGATGCCAGATGCCATAGAGTTAGCTTCGCAGTATTTGACAGAAAAAAAAGGATTTAAATTTGTCGATGAATTAGGAAAAGGAACTTTTGGCTCAGTTTTCAAAATCTCATGTGCAAAGAGAGGTTTGATGGCTGCGAAAATTGTTCTTAGTAGGTAAAAGAATCATTTGCAGGGAGGAAAAAAAATGATGGAAAATTTTGTTCTTCCCTTGATCTCAAAATAAAATAAAAACGTTCAATCTTTATTAGTTTGCTAACTGATTAATATAATATGTGTTAATGATTTGTGTAAATATTATTTTTTTAAATGAATGTTAATCCAACAACTGGTTTTTTATATTTTATGTTATATTTTTTTCTTCCAGTAGTTTCTAGTTATTTCGGTTTTATTAATCTACTTTTGTTTCGATATTGTTCCGACTACTAGTTTTGAAAGAAACTGAAAATCTGAGAGAATATTATTACCTGTGATATAACTTTTAAATTTATATCTTGAAGAAACATTCCACAGTCTTTAAACTGTGGATATTAGAACATGGCGTTGAAAAGCAAGCTTTCTGTGCGAGTTCTACGATAATCTTAGATTCATATGAAATCTTGAACATAATTATGTGATTAGAAATAGCATACTTTTAAATTTTAAAATGGAATAACAAAAAGTTATTGTTCAAAGAATGCCTGAGAAAAGCGCATCATTCTCTAATACTTAGGTGGCAAGCTTCTCAAATTGGTCTGTAACAGAACTCTAGGCTGTAAAATATATTTAACTATGTGTAGTTATCAAATGTTATTAAAAGAACAATTAGTTATTGAAAGAAATTATGCTGCTTAAGCCGCAAGTGTTTAAATTGAAATATAGTAAACTATACCGTTGGGAGTAGTATCGGAAAAGAAGAATAAAACATGCAGCAGATGAGATGAACTCTCAAGACACATAATGACAAATGCTGCTCAAAGTTTTACATGTGGGCTAGACTCAGTAACTAACCACTGGATGACAGTTCAAATTTTACTGGGCTCTTAATCCATATGATTGCAAATTTGCTACTTTAATAACCTTGTTTCAAGTTGCAATTCTAGATAAAATACATATATTAGATCATTCAAATATCGTTACCCTTTTCGTACTACAAAGCATTAATTAATCATTGTTAAATTCATTTTCTTTCTATCATTTAAAGATCTAAAATAATTATTTGACAAAATATGCCTTTTTATAGGTCTGTCAATAATCTGGAGCTTAAAGAATGGCCAAAGCTTGATCACCAAAATGTTCTACGCCTGTTAGATGTATATGATATTGACAGTGTAGTAATATTTGTCACTGATCTTATGAGCACCAACCTCTTCTTCAAACTACAGAATCACGATTTCAAGAAAGATCCAAATGCCGTGGAGAAATGCAGAATATATGCCACTCAAATTCTTTGCGGTTTAGCTTACCTTCATAGTAGGCTGTTATGCCATTTGGATTTAAGAGCTGAGAATATTTTCATAACATCTGATGATAAAGCTGTAGTGGCAGATTTTTCGGGACTCTCTTGGATAACAGATAAAAAAATTTATTGTCCATTGCCTCGATCTCTGAAACCACCTGAAATGCTGACAAGCAAGAAAAAGGTGGAACCTATGCCTATCGATCTATGGGCTTATGGTGAGTTGAAAATCAATTAAATGCTTTCTGGCAGGTGTGTTTAAGGAAAACTTTGATTCTAATAACTTTGTATCAAAGTGGCTTAAAAAACTTTAAAATTTTTTGGACACTATATAATTAAAATTCTTTATTTTAATTACTTTTTAATTCTCTCATTATTTCGTATACCTAAAAAAGGAAGGTTTTCACGCAAGATTTAATTCGTGACTTTAGTTATTCCTTGATCCATTATATAAAATATATCGATGTGTTTTTAATAATCTTTCTATGAATAAATCTGTCAACCAAATAGGCTGAATTCGGACAACCTATCGCTGAAATCATTCATAAATAAATAATTTTCTTAAACCATTAAATTTTGACTGAAATACATTTAATTGGAAACTTTCAAGCAAAATATTAGTTTTCCTAAAAACAGATAGTTATGGCTAAGATAAAATTCAATTTCGGAAAGAGAGAAAGCGATTGAAAAATTTGAAGACTTTAAAACACTTGCAATTTAATTCGGATTCCTTTATAAATTATTACATATTATTTTCATTACCTTAAAATACTGAATCTGCCAAAGATAAAACTGTTATCAAACAAAATCCGAAATCAAAAACCAATCTGTTTTTCAGTTTCACAGATATTAAAGTGTATTTTATAATTTAAAAATACACAAATAAAAAATAATAACAAAGATCTTTCTTTCATCTTATAGCTGGTTTAATAAAAATAAAAGTTCTGTTTTGCCAATAAGATTGGTAATAAAAAATATTAACAAATACAAACTATAATTACTTTGCCGAAATTTTTGAAGCACGAAACTAAGATAAAAAATATCCATAGTCATAATTACCATAATAACCCCATTCTAAAAATATTAATTTTAATGACAGGTTTATTACTGGCAAATTTGTTTTTGGGTAAAGGCTTCTACGTCTGCACAGTAAAGAACAGTAAAGCAGGACAGATTGAGGCTGTTGTGCAATACACACAGCTTTTCCAGTGCATGGCTTATGTAAAAAAGTTTATTTATGAAACCTACCCCTTCTGTTCTATGTCCAAGAACTACATACAAGAACTTATGAATTTTACAAGCATGTTTCTGCAGATGGACCCAACGCATAGAATCAGCGCTCAAGAAGCACAAAAACACAATTTTCTAAGTATTTCCGCTATCAAATCAGATCTATCTGAATTTACTAGACCGACGGAAACGCCAAGTACATCAGGGACGCAAGAGCTCAGCGTTTCATCCATGCCATCTGAGCAGGTAAATTCCATTTTCGAACTTTCAAAAATGTCAAATATATGTAAATCTCTAAAGTAAAACTATATATATTGTCATCACATGAAAGAGAAACAGTAATTTCTAATAGTAAAAATTAGAAGGTATTTTTCTTGCCTTCCTAGAGTGCCTTCGTGGTGAACGTGGTACAGTGGCGCCCGAACTAAAAGGGTGTTGGATGAGGTTTTTCCACACCCAGGATTTGGCGATTGGGTCCACTATCCCAGTCACCCTTTAAAAGGGGATTATATACGTTATTTCTCCCGCCTTCCTAGCGTGCCTTCGTGGCGTTGGTGGTTCTGCACGCTGGGCCGGTATTCCAGAGGTCCGTGTTTCGATTCCCGGCGAAGGCAGTTGCTAATTTTTCATTTATCCGGCTTTTCCAATTAACCTAATGACTCTGCAAAATGACCCAAATACATTGTGGAGAGTTTTAAGCCACTTGCATTCTGATACTTCCATCTGAAATAGGAAAAATCTAATAAAAATCTGAACTCACGGGGGATAAGAAAACACCGGCATTGAATATGACGTAAATTTTAATAAGTACTGTGTTACCAACCTCAGGTATCCGTCTTTCGCCTTGAATCTCACTATCTTCTTTCTCTTATCCAAACTGAAATAACTTTGAAAGATGGCATTTCATGAACGTTGAGGATATCACGAAAACCGTGATCATCAAACCGATATTCGGATTGCAAAAACAGTTTTAACAGTTTTAAGCATCTTGTAGATCGATCAAAATCTCAAAAAAAAAGAGGATTAATTTAAATAATTATGACTGCAAATTGCAGTGCTTTTAACTTTTAGTGTACCAGGAGAGTCGCGGTATTTTCTAATTAATCCTTGTGAATGCATGAGAAGATACATTATGCCGCTGGGACAGTCCAGTGCATTCTGTATAAAATCCTGATATGAAGAAGTAACAATAACGCCAAAGAAAGCCAGGCTCATAATGCCTATTAAAGACGTGTCCCAGGTGAATTAAAACTTCAGTGCTTAAAAATGCAATTCCTAATCTAATACTAGTTGATCATGATGTTTGATTGTACGCCCGACGACCTGTGGTTTGTGTTCCTTTGTCTCCGTGGCATGTCAGAGTTTCCCTGAATTGAGCCCGTGAATATCGCAGTTGGACACCAGAGAAGTGGGCTCAAGTATTCTTTACGGATGAGTCTCGATCTAACATCCAGAACGATTCCCGAAAGGCAATGATATGGCAAGAGTAGGGGACATGCAATCGGGCGCCAAATATCGTAAGATAATAATAAGAGACCATGAGAGATGAGTGGTCTTACTTGTATGGGCTGGGACAATAACGAACGGCCGCACCGACCTATACGTGATTCCTGGTGGTTCCGTCTCAGTCGTCCGAAACCATAACGAAATTCTATACCCTCTTGTACGTCTTGAGTATCGACACGATATTTATGGGCGATAACGCCCGCCTGCATAACTCGAGTGGTGCGGAATAACCTGGAGAGTGAAATCATTCCATATCTGCCTTGGCCTGCTAGATTAGTAGGCCTGAATATCATACAGCACGCGTGAGACATGTTGGGGCGACGGATAGCAGGCACCATGCACAAACTTCGAATGCATTACTACAGGAATGGGTGCTACGGCCAGAAGAAGCGATCAGCGACACTATTGCCAGCTTACCTCGCCGTTGTCAAGCATGCATTTCAGCGAGAGGGTATCGTAACCGTTATTAGCGTGATGTTTCCATTGCACATACTTCCGACCCATTTGGTCTTCCGCGATGTAATGGTCATAATACATGTATTTCTTTATGCCTTTGCTTTATCGTTTGCTATGTGGTCTAGTAAGGCAACACCAACCTTTTGAATCAGTTTCACACATATCCAATAAAGATTTTTTATTTTATTCAGTGTTTTACCTTTTTTGCTTATATTTCGAGCAGTAGTGTATATTGTTATGGCATTTCTGCACTGTCGCAGTTTAATAGCTGTTGTAGTCAGTTCTTAATATTAAAAAATATATATATGTAATTTTACTTAATTTGAATTTCATTAGGGGGCATAACTGAGTTTCATAGCTGTCACATTAACTCACTGCAATTCGTAGATAACATTTGAGAAATTTCATTACATTTACGCAAATTTTGTAACTGTTTTAGATGTTATAACTAGAAAGTGTTCTAATACTCGCTAATTTTTACCCATACTTGAAGAATGCTGCTGATAAGTAACTTGATCAATATAGATAGCAATATTGTGATTGTTTCTATACAAATAATAAACTTGTATGCAATGCGAAAATACTACATCCCATCATAAGTGTGAAAAATATGTAATTACTTAATTCATCTTCATTAAAATTTCACAAGAATAGATTTATAAACATGAAAGCCTTTTCAACCCGCAATGGTGAACTTTTCAGTCCTGTTAAATTGCTCGGAAATTTTATCACTTTTTAAGGCTAAATTAATGCTCATAGTATGAAATTTTTAAATTAATGCTTGGAGCACTTTATTTTGCAATTATAAGTAAATATTTTCAAATTACTAAGTCGTTTGCAGTAAATAAGCTTCCAATAGCAAACAGAAAGTGTATGTATTTTGGAATGTGTAAGCAATAATACATAGACAAAATGCATATAAGTAAAATTTAAAAGTATTTCTAAATTAAATGAATCTGTTCAGTTAAAAATTCTCTCTATTAAAAAGTGTTGATTTATTCTTTCACAGGTTTCGACTGAAAATTCTGCAGGAAAAATTATCTCAAACCTCGAAATTTCAAAATCTCAAAAACAGAAAGGTAAAAAGAGAAAGTGGAAAAAAATTAACTTCAAGAAGTTTAAATTCTTTCATATAAGTTCGCCGCCTACATTTAAGTCGAAAGCACTGAAGAAGAAAAAGAGGGAAAGGAAAGAGGAAGTCTCAAGGATAACTAAATCTCAGGAAAAATCACAAGAATAAAATTTTAGTGTATATTTATCTTACTTTTTTTCATTTTTATTCCTAGATGGTTACATGATTGAAGCAACTTGCGCTATGGGGAGGGATGCCTTCATGGAGAACTTTTAAGAGAAAGTGGCTCGTAATTATATTATACATGGGAAAATGAGGGTAACTCCCATATTGTCCGCCCATTCAAATATAGGTTGGCCTAGTATGAATTCAGTGACCTTAATACTCTGCCATTGGGGGCCTTCATCTGATCCAAATTAGCCAACAATGATTAGCTTTTTCACTGCTTTTTACAGAAATCGCAGAACATTATCGATCCTTAAATATATATACAAAAACATTCATTTTATATACAAAGGATGCTGGAATTTAACATCAGTTCAAAAATTAAGATATTTATGTGATGTTTATATTCCATTCAGAAGAGAAAAATTATGAATTTGTTTCTCTCATGGTATAGTTATATAATGCTCAAAGATTTATGTTGAACTAGATTTTTAGATTTAAATCTAAAATATTAATAGCGTTGTATCTAAGTTTGTAGTTATATTATTTTAAAAATGCTACGAAATTCTCTGAAAAAATTATATGTATCGCAGGTAATGTTCAATCCAGCGCCGCAGGAAAATTAGTCAATTAATTTGGCAGCGTAACAGTCGTCACTAAAATATATTTTTTTATTTAATTACCCACCTTAAATAATAAGTAGAGTATAGTGCTTCTATTTTCACAGTAATATTCTTAAACTATCGCTTCATTTTGCCCTAAATGTCTCCATCACGCTTAAATTTCAAATACTCGTATTTACGTAACTTAATATGCAAACGGTACCTGCTGCATAATAAGCTCAGACGTGACTTGACACTAACATCAGAGTAAAATATGGCAATAATCAATTTGCAACTAATATATTCGATTGAAAAAATATTTAGTAAAAAAAATAGCAATCGATATTAGAAATAGCAATCGAAGTGTAACTTTGGATCACAAACGCCTTGATTCTCGAACGTATTTTCCGAACCAAACTGTATTGGATGACAAACGACGCCTTCAGATACGAATAGATAATCTGGCAACAAAAAATACTCTAAAATGCAGTTAATGCAATGCAGAAAATGTTTTCAGAAGAAAATGGAAGGGAGGATGCCCCTAGTTATTTGATCTGCGAAATTGAATAAGATGCAGAAGTTCGTAAAACATTATACCCATGATAAAGCATTAGTAAACCGCAGCATAAATATGTGTGATGACAATGCGATATCTTGCTTTAAGAACATTTTAAAACATATCACAGTAGATATTAGAAACAAATGGCAGTAGATAAATTTTGAATGGGACAAAGGTTCAGAGATTCTCAAGTAGAGGCGAGCCATTTTAAGACAAAGAGGAAAGAAAAAGGAACAAAAAACTCAGAAAGACAGCAGTTATTTTAAAGGAATTTTAGGATTTCTCTTTCAAAAAATAAAATTTTGCACCTTCACCGATTTCTACTTAAGCCATCAACTTTCCTTCGTAGAGATAGGGTAAACTTAATTCAAGTTTTCCTATACTTTTTGCTCGTTTAGTATTGTGTTAATTATTGTGCATGTGTTAGATTTAATGAATTCCATTAGTTTGAAAGGAGATTCTGGTAGCACTGGTTTAAACGGGAGGATTCCTAGAAGAAAGGAGCTCCGCTGGAAGCGAAGTACCGCCTAGCTACGAAAACGATATACCGGCTACGCAGGATTTTTTTAAACCTCCCCGAAAATGTTTCGGGTGCGGCTCTGTCGCGGGTACTAGAAATCAACCAATCACACGAAAGTTCTACTTCTGAAGGACCACGTGATCCCAGTCTGAGCGATAATCGATTACTGTTTGGAGTTCCAGTCTTTGTAGTAAGAGAAAATGGTGACCTAGCTATGTAAGTTTCCTGGAAATGTGCGGGTTTTGAGAATTGTTCCTTTCGACGTCCAGTCCCTCGTAGAGGAAACATATGTGATTGGGACTTAAGCAATCAACTGGGATCCTGGAACTGATTAATTTATTTTACATTAACTCCTACGGGAAAAATTGTTTTGTTTTACGAATATTCCAGATGACGAATATTTCAGATGATGAACAATCTTCGGAAACAAATTAAGTTCGTTAAACAAGGTTTCACTGTATTGTATGTATACATACCTACATACGCGCCATGTCCATAAACGCTTATATGCTAAATATATTACTATCCCAACCGTTGGTCGCAGACGTATACTTCCAGTTACCAAACGCTTTAAAAAAAGAAAAATATTCTAGTTACGGCATTTTTAAATTTCAACTTTATAAAAATTACGAAATCTAACTATGGGCCAGGGTTTGTATAGTTATATTTAAAAAGAGTTTATTCTCGATAAATACATAATATAAAACACAAAAAGGTTGATTCCTGTACGACAAAAGTTGACCAAAATAATTAATTCCAAAGTTTGAGACAACAGAAGAGATAAGTGTTTGCATTTGTTCGTAACTAAAAATGAAATAGTCACTTCAGAAAAGTTTTGGAATCACTTTTCCCTTTTTTCCAGACTTTATATACTTAAATTTTTTCCATGGGGTCGCTTTAAAGGTAACACGTAGAAGCACAAACCACGCATATGGACAATTTGCGTCAGAAAGTCCGTCGCGAAATCCAAGGAATGACGCCCATGCAGCAACATACGCGAACGCCATGTTTAACTGTATGTACAGGCAGGGTAAGATCCCTTCCATCATCTCTTCTAATGCACTTTCATATTTCAAGCATAAAAGTATGTCATGTAAAAATTTGGTTTCGCTTCCTTTTATTTCAAGATTTTTTCCCTGTATATCAACATATATAGGAATTGCCTTGCTTTGACTCCAATTTACTTTTAATTTTAGATGCTTTACGTTTATCATATATATATATAGAGAGAGAGATAGAGATAGATGTATATAGGGACAGGCAGGCAGACAGACGTTTTTTATGTTACAAAAAGTACTGAAAGGAATGAAACTTTAAAACTGCAAAATTTGCGTGTATCTTATTATCAACTGCAAGAATTTTAAAAGTATGAAGGATGCTTTCCATATAATATCGCGTATGTTGATATAGCATGTAACTCTATCATCGATAATGGTTTTTATAGTAATAATACTCACAGTTCTTGACTCCACCCAAACTGGTGCATCATTCTCTCGGGATCTGTCCAAAGTACCATTGACGATAGGCTCTGTGTTGTTATATGCCGTGATTTCGTCATGGTTTGGCCCTCGGCGATGCTTCTGTTGCTGAGTTTTGGACTGAACCAAATTCTCCATCTGTCCAAAGAAATAAAATTTTTGTAAAATACTATACAACATACAAATAAAATAAACTGGAAAGAATTATCCTGAAATAAAAGTTTTCTAAAGAAGAAAGAATGAGTAAGAGGAAATTACAAAGAATATCGAGAGCGAGACTGATTTTTCAAAGCTCTCATAAAAATGCCCCATAAATAAGTATTCACATGGCAAATACAAATTAATATTTCAGTATGTTTTCAAAAATATATAACGCTATACATTTTTTAAATATTAATTTTCCGAAAATTTAAAAATGTGGAGCTGGGCCCTTCTTGCTGCAAGCCCTTCAATAGTTATTGTATAAAAACTTTTTTATTGTATTTTCTTTTCTTTTCTAGTCTCTTATACGTTATGAACGACGAAATTTTTAGTCATTATTAAAACACCAAGTAATAAATTATAAGAAAATCATGAAAAAAAGTACTGACTATTATTCAGAGAATGGACAAATCATTTTGAATGTTCAGTTTCGGGAACTGGATGTAATAACAATGTTACAACGAACAATTTACCTGAAGCTAAAATGAAAAAACGAATATCTTCAATTCGCCATTATGTGAGGCAAAGATGGCAAACACAAAAGCAATTTTTCCGCGAGAAACGATTTCTCTCTTGTTTGCTTCGGACTGCAACACCTATTTTTAATGCAGTCAATCGAACAATTGATACTTTTTTCATCAACTTTGTTTTAAAGGAGCGAAACGAAATTTTTCGCTATCGAACAGAGTTCGATAGCGAAAAATCATCTAAACATTAAAAATAAACCCGTCATTAAAAAAAGGCTAAAAGCTTTCAGGTTTTATATTATACCCGAAGGGGCGTTTTCTTAACGCTTTGTGTGTTACCTTTATTTATTAAATATCAGGTTCTTCGCACTTAAAACATAAAATTCAATTCAACAACAATATCACAAAATATTTAAAAGAACATATCTTTGGAATTTCCGATACACAGACTAGTGCGCTGGAGATATTTTTTTTCTTTTTTTCGTACGGTGTTCTCATTACTCGCTTTGAAATCGTTGAGTTTGTTAATAAAAAATTCGTTAAAGTTTTACAGAATATGACATAGATAATAAAACAAATTTCAAATTTGGGTTTCCAGATGCCCATATTCGAATGAAAGACTGACTACGTTATTCAAAATTCGATGTCTCTAGATGCCGTTGACAGTGCGAGAACCATACATATATTATTTAATTTCTTTAAATATAATGCAGGCTATAATATTTGGTGGCAACAATTTGAAAAACGAAGCGCCGTTTATAGTGAACCAACGCAAAATGCCAAAATGAAATTAATAGCCCTTCTGGTCAAATTGCCTCTTGGCCTAAAAGAAAGAGAACTAAATCGAATTTTGAAAAAAAAAAAAAAAAAAAAAAAAAAAAAAAAAAAAAAAAAAAAAAAAAAAACCGCTTCAACACATTGCATTATCATCGAGAAACAGTGTATGTTGAAAACTGAATTCGATAACTTAATAGTTAGTAAGTTAACAAATCTATGAAAAAATTCCACTCAGAGTGAAATAACATGGGTGAACTAAATAAATGCTTATAAGAAAAACTACCGTGGATGCAAAGCAATAACTGATTTTTTAATCAGTTTCGAAAAGAACCCAAGACTTAGAAATGAACATCACTTTGACTCCAAATATTCACTCTGACTGAACATCACTTTGACTGAAAAACGAAATTATTTGTACCAAATCTGAAAGCTTTTTTAATAGAAAAATAATTCTAAAATTAAGCAAAATCCAACCATAGACTGGTATAAATTTTTGTGAAATATTCTATGCACTTCGAGACAACATGACAGAGACCTCTATCGTTCAAGAAAGAAAATAACCCACTACATATCATGTCTACTAAGTTGCATACATCATATTTCGCCTTCACAAAAGAAGGAAATTTTAAATACGAGTTTTCACATATTTAATGATTAGGCTGATGTTCAGTGTCAGACCAAAGAATACTGAAAATATATTAAATATATTAGTATTTGAAATTTTATAGGCGAATCACTAGTCACACGGATATCACGTGTTTTGCTTTAAAATAATTATTTCCATGAATTTTTAAATAACTTTTTTTAACATGCGCTTATTAAATTTAATTGTCACTGCATAATTCTTCCCATTTTTAATCTTTAAGACCTCAAAATGCGTGTGATAAAAGTAAGGTGAAAAATATATATTACTCCCAAAGGAGATTTTTTTAACGTTTTGTGTGTTACCTTTATTTATTAAATATCATGTTCTTCGCACTAAACCACACAAAATTCAATTCAACAGCAATATCACAAAATATTTAAAAACAGCATATCTTTAGAATTGTCCAGAGATAGTCTCGCGCGCTAGAGATAAAAAGGTTCCCCCCCCACACACACACACACGTAGAGTGTTGCCATTGTTTGCTTTGAAATCGTTGAGTTTCTTAATAAATTTAAATCATAAATTCGTTAAATTATTACAAAATACGAAACAAATAATAAAACCAATTCGAAATTCAAAATTCGTACTTCCAGATGCCCATGTTCGGGTGGAGGATTACGTTATTTGGAATTTGATGGCTCTAGGTATCGTTATTTTTGCACAGTACGAGAAACATACCTACGTTCATGCACATTCTCTTTTATTTAATTTCTTTTAAAATAATACAGGGCAATAATATTTGGTGGCAACAGTTTTAAAAGTGATTCAGCCTTTTACAGTGATTCAACACAAAATCCCGTTTCGAGACAAATAGCCCTTCTGAGGTAACGCTCCTTTGGGATAGTAAGTATGTTAAGTGCTTCTTTTAGAATTACATGCACGCATAAAACAAGCATATTATTATTTATTTATTGACTGGAATATTTTTCATGAAATGAGTTTTAAAACTCAGAAAAGGCATTTCTACCAGCCACTACTATACGCATGTAATAGTACCTTCCTCTTAAGTACAAATTCTCAAGTTCTCAGATTTCTTCTTTATATGTAAAAGCAAACTGTATGCAATGTTTGTAAAAGTTGGATTCAAAGTTTATTTCTTTAAATATTTCAAAGTTCAAGGTGTCAAGTTAAAGTGCAATTTCAAAGTTAAATATTCAAGGTTTATACGAATAAGAAGTTCTGTTTTCATGAATAAGAAGGTTTTGTAATTACAAAATCTAATTTTTCGTATGATGCTCAGGCGGAAAAAGTTCAGTAAGTACAATATTCTTACATTTATTTTAAGGTTAAAAACATAAAGATCCATTCCATTTTAGGTTCGAACAGTTTTACAAACATTCCTCTTTGAGCAAATTTCCAAAGGGATAAGAAATTAGTATCTTCATGCAACGAATTATAAGATAGACTGCTCTTTAAATGGTGCTATTAATCTCCTATTTAAGAAACTTTTGTTTGTAGTTGTCCCTTTAAAACTGATGAAAGAATGCCAATTATTTGTCGCTGTTACGCACTGAAAAAAAAAAAAAAAAAAAAAAAAAAAAAAAAAAAAGAGAGAGAGAGATTTAGGTGAGAAAATTTCTTTCTGATGTATTACGAAATCTGTATTTACATACGAATGACAAACCTATGAAGACATTAAGAAGAAATTAATAACAGGGTTTGTGTTAATCACAACGAATGTTTTATTAATGAAATTTTATTCTACGAAAGCAGTAAAAAAGTTGGCTTTTAAAGAACTCTCTCACTATTGTACAGAAATAATTTTCGTAAAAATTCTGTCTCTCTGAAACAAGTTAAAGTACATACCTGGGATCAGTATTTACGTAAGCAAAGCCTGTAGCCATTATCGAAAACTTCGTTTAAATATTAACTTTCTAAAAAGGGAGTGTGATTTTAATATATGAGATGCCTCATGACGACATACATTCTAGCAATTTTAATATATGAGATGCCTCATGACGACATACATTCTAGCGCTTCTAAATCATTAAGGAAAGCATTATTCTTTCTCTGTCACATAGAACTATGATCAAATATTGGTGGTGTACCATAATTTCTTCTCTTCTGCATTTTAATATCAACGTCATATGATCACAAAATCTTCAAGAAAAATCATGAAGGTATCTTACATATCGGGAGGAAGTGAAGAAGGGGAAAAAGTGGAATTTAAGTCTGAGAACGAAGAGCCATCATTTCCCATTTCTTCATATAATCTAACTAGAACAAAATACGAAATATTTCCTATTTTTATCTATGCAATTAATAGTTAAATTTTTATGGAAACTGGAATCTTCAATCTTGTGAAGAAAGGACGGCAGGAGGAAAAAATAATGTTCGCCTTTCCTAAAGATCATGTTTGGACAGTTTTTCGCTCCTCTAATAAAGCAGATGGCGTTCAAGATAATTTGGCTATACGAGATAATTTGGTTATTTTCATTTGCAAGTCAAAATATCATTATATTTCAAATATAAAAGAAGGAGAAATGAGATCACGAAATGCGTAAAAAGAAATATCAGTATGACTAGATTTCGTATCGAAGCAAGGTAAAAAAAATATCTTTCGAAAGATTGTGAAAGAATTTAGATCTTAAAATTAACCTTAGGATTTCCAGTTGGTTGGCAAATAAACACAAAAGATTAAGACTGAATATCTTTCTATAAAAAGTACCTTAGATTAAAGATGAATTTCTCGAGCATACAAATTACTGAGACAAAACCCATCTCATAACTACGGTTTAAAATTTATATTCCATGAGGAACAGTTAATTTGGGGGCTAAAGAAAAGAGTTTCTTACCTCTCGGCGTTGGTTTCTCTTCGTTTCTTGTTTCCCCAGAGGTGCGACGTATTCACACGGAAATATACCAGATTCTCCATTATCCAACACGCCATACAACCACCCTGAAATAAGAAAAGTTAAATGAAGCCTAGAAAATTTTTCTCTGTAAATATTCTGTACAACATAATAAGTGTAGAATCTCTTTATACATTTTCAGGTCATTCCTTTCTTCGGTACTCGTGGTGTCTCTTCTCCTCTTTCGAGAGTTTCAGTCCACTTTTCAATGGTTTATAAAATGTGCAAATTAATGGTACAAAATGGTATTCTCTTTATGCAAAATAATTTTGTACTTATGTTCATATACATATTAATCTTCTTAAAATATGCATCCATAAACTGAAAAAATATCATAATGTTGTTACAAGGTAGTAAATATAAGCTAAGAGTAGTGTTATTTGCTAAACAAAAGAAAAAAAGGTCAGAAATTTCAGAAGTCTAATTTTTTCCCAGTTATTTTAAGTAGCATTTTCCAGACCAAATTGTGATCGCCATAAAATTTCCAACGAGTATATGATTTGACGGAATCTTAAAAATAAGAAAATGAGCCGGAGCCGGAATTTGCGTTTGTTCAAGAATATAAATAAAATAATAAAACAAAAGAATAATCAAAATTAATAAATGTAAAACTTTAATAAACTATTTTAAACTGATGCAGAAAAAACAGGCCAACAAAACAAAATGAAGTTAGTAAAAGGTTGTTTGTATATTCAAATATGGCAAAGTACACGAGAACATCTGAAGAGCTATATTCATGACGAAGTTTACGGAAATTAGAACTCTGAACACAGAAGTACCAATGCAGGCATTCTCCGGGATGCGAGCTCGCGCCAGAGTATTAGTATTCAATGGTCTTTATCACTCGGGCATTTATGAGTTCCAAGAAACAAAAAGGTGAGTAACTTAATGGCAGCATAATAAAGACAAATGAAAAAGGTAAGTATTTTAAACTGTTTTCTTATTTTTTCCCGCAGCCAGATAAAAATTGTTTCTTTATTTTAGTTCTTAATCCGTTTAAGTCGTTATGAAGTTTCTTTTAAAAAATAATTTTTGGCAAAAATATGATTAATTAATTATTTTATTTATACCTTTTTTCCTTCATTCCCTTTAATTCATTTTCGATTTCATATATTGCACAAATTTCCCCTTCTCGAAGGGGCCGTATTTCGATACGAGATTCCCTTCCTGTGCGTTTAGCTCTTCACAGGAAAAGAGAGGCATAAATTAAATAGCTAGTATCAATATTTGTTTTACTAGTTGCAGCAATATGCAGCTTGATTTGATAGTGGTTAATGTTATCGTTTGTATACTGTTATTCAATTGCCGAAGTCTTGCCCGTTTGTTTATGGAAGCATGGAAAATACGCACATATTCTGATCAAAAATTCGGTTAATATAATTAAAATATTGTTACGGAATTTGTATTTAGTTTATTAGCTTTTGTAGAATTGATTAAAATTGTTTTATATACCCGTGCAATACAGCACGAGTCTTATTTGAAGAGAAAGCTACGCTGGAAAGTTAAAATACAGGGGCACGAGCATTTAATATTTAATAAATAGATATCTCGTAATTGTACTCTTTTGCATTCCAGAAACCTCGAGAAAATACCAGAATGTTCTCATGCATGATTAAAAAGTTTATAAAAGCATCAGAAAAACATCTCAATTCAATTGTTTACTTAGTTCTTGTTGTTGGTTGTAGCGAATTCGCGGTGAGATCGGATTAGATTTTTCTCCTTTGAATTGTGTTCTATTTAACGTTTTAGTAGTTTAAAATATGACTACTATGAGATATTGTGATATTGTACGAATATCTCTGAGGAAAATATCTCTGAGGAAATTTCAGCATTTTGTTTTATTTCTTCGGATAAGAATAAATTTTATTAACTTGTTATCGACTTGTGCATTGAATTTATTACGAACCCGTACGCACGCAACAATATAAAAGGGTAAATTTTTTAAACTGAAGTAAAATCGCCAAATAAAGTAGATTGAAAATATTGCCAAGTGACAGAGAAATGTCGCCAAGTAATGAATTAAATCGTCAAAAACTGAAGCAAAGTCTCCAAATAAAGACAAAATAAATTGAAAATTTTGCCAAGTGACAGAGAAACATTGTCAAGTAAGGGATTGAGTCGTCAAAGAGCTTTATTTTGCTTTCAATAAACCATTAAAAATTGGGCCAAAAAGTCAACTTTAGTCTGACGTAGATTTTCTCTACCAATTTTGAAGCCGATGAGACCCATGTCCCGGTTCCTTCAGGAGCAAAAACATTTTTTTAAAAAATAATGAAAACATTTTTGCTAAACTAAGGCTGCTTTTCCGCCTCGTTTTCGACTAAACTAAGGCTGCGTTTTCGCCTCGTTCATGCCTCTCGAGGCATGCTCTCTTCCAATGACGGATGTCTTCCAAGTATAATGAGTGTAGCACCGTTCAAATAATTTTCGAAAGCCTTATGAACAGTTCATAAATCAGCCTTTTGCATTAAAAACATTATGAACATTTCATAAACAATCTTTTGCATTTTCTTAATTAAAATATTGGAAAGAGCGTATCTATATGTTTCTACATTAATAGAATTCCTCTGGTATTATGAATATTTTTTCTCATCGCTTAATGTTACCACATAGCCAAGGACAAATGTGATCACATTTAAGCGGTGCTTACTATAAAAAAAATTGCATTAATAACGAAATGCTAATAGCACAAATAAAGCATTTAGCTCATTTCATTTGGAGTTCAAGTTTCAATAGACATAATATTAGGTTCCGTTTGAAACTATGATTTCTTTCAATAATTTAGAAATACTAAAGTTGGGTTCGAGTTGAATTTAAACATGTCGAGCTGCCCAAGCCTCTTAAGCAATTAGAATATATTATAAAATTATTTTAAAAAGTTATTAGCATAACAATAATTATGGGTTGAAATCTGAGATCGCGAATATTTTTTTAAATAAACATATACAGAAAATAAATATGCGCAGTTTCAAAGCAGTTTCTTTGAACAATTTTTGTCAATTTTAATTTTGATAACATGAGTATTTTGAGGAATAGAACTCACTGGAGCTTCAAATTTTGGGCATAAGAGTTTTTATTTAGGACAGTTTTGGACAGCGTTGAATAGAAAAACAAAAGGGCAGTAAATATTTTTTGAAAGTTTTTTAATTTACCTTCACAAATTACATTAACAATGACATTAGAAAACGAATTTTTTCCGAAATAATAACATGAAAACAAAAGAAAAAATATTCGACACGCCTATAAAATAAGATACTTTTGTAACATATTGGTCTTAGAAAATGCGTGTATCTAATTCTAGATCATCTCTTTATAATGTTACCCTTTTTTATAGCTCTGAAACTGTATTCTGAATCAAATTTTCTGTTGAGAAGTAAAAATAGAAAGAAATGTTTTAAAATTAACTGATTACGCAGTGACATATGACTGTGCTTCAGAGCAGGAATTAACTACATTGTATGTTTTAAATGCTTCATTGTAATATACGTTGATTATTTTTATCTGAGCTATTGGGGACCGACAGCACTTGGCATTAATTATTTTGGAATAACAGCATATTTGTAATTACATATGCTGCAGAACGAAATTGCGTCTTTAGCGAAATTCGTTTATGCCTCGCATACCTAGAATATAGCCTAATTGTAGTTTAATTCATTTTTTAACACAATTTTATTTCTGAAACAAAGTGTGTATGAATCGAACATCTGAAATCAAAGGTATCCCCCATCGCAGTTATCCACGCTGATATTATATAGGTGTTTCAGTCGTGATTCTGAATTAATAATATAATATACTTCTCCTGAACAATCTTGACATGCGTAAGTACTTAACAATAAAAAATGTGATTCATGCGACGGGTCAGCGCTTATATGACGTCATATCACTGCTCAAAACGATTTGAGGATTGTACAAAAGATTTGGAACATTTGAATTTTCGAATTAGGGATGCTCGAATTTCCTTAAAACTCAAATTACTTCGAAATGTTTTATTCGCTGAGTGCGCAGTATAAAAAAAAGTACAGGCTCTGTATTAATGGAATGCTAGAGCCGAAATGTAAAAAATTATCAATTTAAGCTAGAATTTTCCGATTTAATTATGATTGATTCTTATGATTATCATTTTTTGGGGAAATTTAAAAAGCTATAAAACTCTTATTCATTTTAAACAGTGTTTCTTAAACTGTGGGTCGCGACCTACGTAGGGTCGCAGGACCTGCAGCAGGGGCTCGCCAAAAATTGTAGCAGTTTTGATATTTCTTTAACTTATTATGAATGTTTTACAATTAGGAAACATTTTTACACAATGTATCTGAAAATGGATAAAGGTAAGACAATACAGACAAAGAAAAAACGACTTTTTACTCATTCGTCCACTTTACTTGCTTTGCACATGACGCTATCATTTCGTCTGTTACTTATTTAAAATTTTCATCAAATTCAAATTACATTTAAAAAAATCAGATTTTTGTTCTATATCTTAAAATTAGATATTAAAGTTAATAACCTAGAACTGCAATAGTATATTACAGTATAAGCGAAAAAATTGACAGTTTGCAAATGTCTCCCATTTTAATGTATAAAAAATTGCAAAGGCGAAATGAAGGAAAATTCATATGCATATCGTACGATCAAAGGACATAATGGTAAAACCTTTCAGGGTATTACGCTACATGCCTAAAACGCTATATGCCTAAACGCTTAATAGCGCTACGTGCCTAAAATAATATCTGAAATTAATCGGTGTATCTTAGACAATAACGATGTTGAATATCACCTCTTTAAGGGGGCCTAATCACAGATGATCAAAATCTTTTTCAACAGGGATTAATTTTCTTGGGTTTCTAGTATTTAAAAAAGATTTTGCAAGATTTAAAAGACCGTCTGTAATCTTAATTTCGAATTTTGCTATGCTTATAACATACGATTTATTTTGTTGTGTATCAGGAAAAGAGAAAATATTGGACCGAAGATTTCAGTCAAATATTTCGTTATTATTTAGGCTACATTGAAAAACATTTACATTATCATACTGCTTTTAGATCAAAAG